TTTTTAGTTTCCTGAAGAGATCTTTTCCCACAAGCCATCTTCATTTTTTTTGTAGACTAGGGCTTTATTTCCAGGAAACAATGTATTAGTTGGAGATGGGTATTTTTTTAAAAACATCAAGGTAGATCTAATATGTTCAACAAAGTGGGGTGGCTCGGCCAGAGGCGAAGTGGAAAGATTCTGAAAACACAAGATGGTGGGCATAAGTCACCTTGCTCGGCCCTGCTTTGATAAAGATGTCGAAGCATCTTTATTCTTGGACACATAAATATATATAGTAAAATACGTAAGAAATGGAGTGGCATCGATTAGTAAGAAAAAAGTTGCTTACTGATTTACCCACACATATTTCCATCTAGGACTCGACATATGCCCAATTGATACACAAATTAAATGGGGTCAGTGGCATCCAAAAAGTAACTACTACACGCCGAAGGGAAAGCAGCTATGACCTGGTCTAAACTCTTTTGTCTTACAGGTGGGAAAACCAGGGTCCACAGATTTAAAACTTAGCTTGTAAATTCTCACCTCTAGTATTTGCTTGTCATCTTGCTGCAACCAGAAATCCACATGTGGAAATGGTGTCCAGGAGTACGGTCCTATACGAATTTGTTCTGTCTCTGCATCGTAAATACTAATCATCTAGAAAAGAACGTGTCAAAGAATTTGAAGAATGTCACCCACTTTTCACACCCTCCCAGCAACGCAAGCTCCAGTGTAGTCTAGCACTTTCAGGAATTTATCTGCCTGATAAGCTTCTTAAAAACTGTCTCTAATACCAAAAGCTGCCACCTACTAAACACATCTAGTGTATCTGCTACTGCAGGCTGTGGGTCCCATACGTGGCTGTTGGCTGTTTAGTGCTGACAACAGTCCTGCAAGACAAGGGTGTTTTTTTCCCATTTGGGGTGAAAACTTGAGACTCAGAGAAACGGGGCCCATTTCCCAGGTCGCCTGTCTGGTAAGCCTCAGAGCTGGACCTCAAAGCCAGGTGCATCTGACTGAAGTCTGTGTTCCTCATTGCCACAGAGAACACTGCCTCATTATTTATACCCCAAGCAACTGATCGCTTTGCAATTTAAAAGCATACAGTGGGCCGGGCGTGGTGGCTCACGCCTGTAATCCCAACACTTTGGGCGGCCGGGACAGGCAGATTACGAAGTCAAGAGTTTGAGACCAGCCTGGCCAATATGGTGAAACCCTGTCTCTACTAAAAATACCAAACTTAGCCAGGCGTGGTGGTATACACCTGTAGTCCCAGCTACTTGGGAAGCTGAGGCAGAAGAATTGCTTGAACCCAGGAGGCGGAGGTTGCAGTGAGCTGAGACCATGCGACTGTACTCTAGCCTGGGCAACAGAGCAAGACTCCGTCTCAAAAAATAAATAAACCAAAAACAAAATAATAATGCAAAAAAAGAAATAATGTAGTTAACAGTTTGACTCATGTCAAGTGAACATTTTCTTTTTTTATATACATCTCTATAAAGTATTCAACTGTATATTAACATCAACATTTGTATGCGTTAATATGAAGTCAAAAGTGTTGCTACTCTATTTCTAAACTGCTTGGCTCTTTAGATTTCTAAGAATAAATAATGATTCATCTCTACTTTGTGTTACAGGAAATAATATACTGACCAACTGCATGCTAGTAATGAGGCCAAACACGATTAAAGATATGTGTCTGGCCGGGCGCGGTGGCTGAAGCCTGTAATCCCAGCACTTTGGGAGGCCGAGGCGGGTGGATCACGAGGTCAAGAGATCGAGACCATCCTGGTCAACATGGTGAAACCCCGTCTCTATTAAAAATACAAAAAACATTAGCTGGGCATGGTGGCGCGTGCCTGTAATCCCAGCTACTCAGGAGGTTGAGGCAGGAGAATTGCCTGACCCCAGGAGGTGGAGGTTGCGGTGAGCCGAGATCATGCCACTGCACTCCAGCCTAGGTAGCAAGAGTGAAACTGTCTCAAAAAAAAAAAAAAAAAAAAAAAAGATATGTGTCTAAAATGATAAAGTATTTAAGCCACTTATACGTCTGTTAAGTGGACAATGTATTGACAGAGCTAGAGGTAACTTACATTATCCATAACAAGTATCTATGAATGAAGGCATACTATATAATAATTTATAGGCAACTAAAAATTTCATTTGGCTACTGGTTTCAGCCTTTTTTCTCTTTACTAACATGGCTAATATAGCATCAAAACTGACAGCAATTTCCTCACTCCTCTGTTAATTTTCAACGCCTGACAAGTAGCAAAAAATAAATAAGCCAAGAGTAGATTATACTTTAAAGCCAACAGAAAGATTCTGAAACTGAGAAACAAGCTCCACATGGAATGCATACCTCAACTATGTGGTAGTTCAAGGGGATCTTGTTCTTCCCTGGATAGCTCACTAACTGTGCAGCACTATAAAAAGTGTAATTTAAGTTTAATAAGTATACAAAGACACATGAAAAGTCAAATAAGCAGTTTCAAAAGCAATGTGTTTAGATAATAGCAAAGAAAAATCTTTTTTGAAATGTCCTAGATTTCAGTTACTTCATTTAACTATGGCATAAATTATTTTGTCTACCACAAGAAAAATCGTTAATGCATCCCAGCTTTCTTGAAAGATCTAAGGAAGCACATTCAAATGTACCAACTTAAGGAAGTTTTAGGCCAGGTGCAGTGGCTCACGCTTGTAATTTCAGCACTTTGGGAGGCCGAGGCGGGGGGAATCACCTGAGGTTCGGAGTTCAAGATCAGCCTGACCAACATGGAAAAAACCCGTCTCTACTAAAAATACAAAATTAGCCAGGCATGGTGGCACATGCCTGTAATCCCAGCTACTCGGGAGACTGAGGCAGGAGAATGCTTAAACCTGGAAGGTGGAGGTTGCAGTGAGCCAAGATTGCGCCACTGCACTCCAGTCTGGGCAACAAGAGTGAAACTCCATTTCACAGAAAAAAAGAAGTTTTAACAGGGTAGATCACTCTCAAAATACTGTATTTTTTCTACCTTAAAATCTAAACCAAACTTTCCAAAGTTTAAGAAAATTTTATTTAAAAAAACATTCCAAAGCTTGGATGTCTAAATGCTAGAAAACAGAGCAAAACCATTGGTATCCAAACCCCAAAATAACTTGCCATTCAAGCTCTCCATAGCAGATGACAAATATCCACACCAAAAAACTGGCATTGTATGCTTATTACTATAAAGCACCTTGAAAAGTACTACATGAGGGTGAAGAGCCTCAAGAAAGTAAATCAAGTGTTTTAAGAAATTGGTCTTATCCAGACAGGGAGTTAGGAGAATAAGATTTTCTAACACTCTCAACATACACTTTGCTCTTACTGAATCACCAAAATTGCTGCTTTTTCTCCCTTTTAAAAGTACCATGAAAAGAATCTTACCAAGTCTTCCTTTCCTTCCAGTGGGACTTAATGATGCAGTGAAGATTCTCTTCTATTACAAATCTTTCCACTGAATGACTCCCTGGCATAACAGGACCCTGGAAAATAATCAAATGTGTACACATACAGGGCTAGGAAACAGATTTGTTTCATTTATTCAACAAATATTTGAGAGACTATTATGTTCCAGGCACTATACTGGGTGGTGAAGATTAAAGCTCTATATTTCAGTAAATTCCATTGTCATGTTCACTTATACCCCCAGAGTATCAGCTGTAGTGTTTCTTCTACTACATCTGATACCTACCACACAACCATTGCCCACTTTACACTTCAATTCTTATATGAAACAAACTAAATAATTTTGGGTACTACAAGCCTTACAGTTTATTTTTTAAACCGAGTAGATTATTTCCGTTAATATGGAGAGAGAGAAAATCCTATTCAAACACCATATAGCCATTAAAAAGTCATGCATGAATGGAAAGATGCCCATAATACACTGTCTAAGCTTAAAACATGTTTCCTACGTGGCATTGCTTATTTTATTCTTAAGTTATGGCATTATTTTATTCTTAAGCATATTCATAGCAAACAGGTTCAAAGAACAAAAAACAGACCTTTAATGGTGACTTTCAGATGATTTTAATCTTCTTTACAATTTCTATTTTTTTTTTTTTAATAAACAACTTTTAAAAGGCCAGAACCACCAAAATCCTCTTTGTTTTGAGAGTAATAAGTATTTTATATATTTATACTCTTCCAGCAAGGGATGGATATGCACCTTACAGAGGTGATACCAATTAAATATAAATACAGGAGAAACAAATTTTGAGGTCCCATTCTAGTTTCCCTTGCATGAAAAAAATAATCACAAACATTAGCAGTCATAAATGTAAACCAGATTTTCAGTTAGATATACGTAACTAGATCATTACATAATTTCGACTTAAGTATTTGGTTACATATGGAACATAGCAAAGAGGGCCAGTAAGCTGCTAGTTTTGTATGTAACTGATTACCTGACAAATTTTTATTCTGAAATAGATTACATATATATTAAATTCCTACTGGTCGCATGAACTTTACTACAGGACAGAAAAGAGAAGATAGGAGAAACTCGAATTTGACTTTAGGTGGTTATATTCATTTTTATGGCAATAGTTTTCAACTGGGGGCAATTTTGACCCATGGGGACATTTTACACTCTCTGGAGATATTTTTGGTTGTCACATCTAGCATGTCACAGTAGCATAGGAGAGTGCTACCGGCACCTGGACGGTAGAGGTCAGGTATACCACTGAGCATCTTACCATACACAAAATAGTACCCAAAATGAAAATTATAAATATTCTTTATTGTATAATATACATTTGTAATAGTACAAGGGCTGCTAGCAACTTGACTCAAATAATACGTATATTAAAAATGATAAAGTCAGCTTAGACTAATCTTTGGAATTTTTTAGTTAAAAACACTTTTAACATTTGTTTGTAAATAGCCATACAATATGAATAATCACAAGACAAGCTGTGTTGCCTAGAGAGAGATGGAGAATATCTAAAACTAGGTACTTTTCTTGAGAAACAACCTTATTAAGAATAATTATGGCCAGGTGCGGTGGCTCATGCCTGTAATCCCAGCACTTTGGGAAAACTTGGCGGGCAGATTGCTTGAGCCCAGGAGTTCAAGACCAGCCAAGGCAACATGGCGAAACTCCAACTCTACAAAAAATTAGCCAGGCGAGGTGATGCATGCCTGTGGTCCCGGCTACTCAGGAGGCTAAAGTGGAGGATCACTTGAGCACAGAAGGCGGAGGTTGCAGTGAGCTTAGATCTCACTTCTGCCTTTCAGTCTGGGCGACAGAATGAGGCTCCATTTCAAAAAAAAGAAAGAAAAATTGCTAGAATGACTGAGCATTCAACATGTGTCAGACACTGTTTTTGTGCTATGCATTTCACATGTTAATAATTTAAGCCTCATAATATGAGATATATACTACTATTATGAGATATATACTATTATTATTACCTTCAGGAAACAAAAGCACAGAGAGGCAAACAATTACCAAATGCACACAGCTAGTATTTGGCTAAACCAAGTTTAAAACACAAATAATGTAGCTCTCAAAACCTACATTCTTAGCCTGCAAACTGTGCTTGTCTCGCTAATCTATTTACACATGCCAAATATAATTTCTTGCATAATGAGGTGATATCATTCACTGAATTAAAAAGTTAACTTCATTGCTATTGACTTTCTTAGATAAAAAAACAACTCAAAATTAAAACATACTACAGGCATAATTTGAGCAGGATTAAACCACAAGCATAGGGCAACACAGGTCGTATCTATGACTTTTAGTTGGTCACCTACCTCAGGATCATCTGTGTAATCAAACATTCTGAAGATGACCCTTGGCATTGGGTACACTGAATCTTCAGTGTGAGGAGGTGGTGTAAAAGGAGGCAGATTATGCTGCAGTGCTTCACACAGGATGCTGTCAAAGGCAAGATAAGGTCTTAGGATGTGCCGTTCCTGCCAGCGATCCTTTTTCAATTTCTGAATCTGGGCCCACAGGCAATCTAAATACTAAAGACAGATTAATTTTTAAGCATTAATATAATTAACATTTTGACTAGACAAAATAAAAAAATTCACTACCCTTGAAAATACAGGCTACA